CTCCCTCCCTCCCTCCCTCCCTCCTCCTCCTCTCTCTCTCTCTCTCTCTCTCTCTCTCTCTCTCTCTCTCTGACTATTCTCCGGTAATTTTCGAAAATAGGAACGAAAGTATAGGCCCTATGAGATACCGTAAAAATCCGCCTCGCTAGTAATAGCTTTTTCTTACTTTTCCAATTACCGTCTTTTTTCGCTATGCGACGCAAAGATGCTTTATATTTACCGAGACGATTTTTTTCAGAACGTTCGAGTGGGACGTTACCCTTGAGAGTATTGAAAACGCACTCGCAGACGAGTGCGTACAACGAATGAATTTTTCATCCGCTTGACGGCGCATTGATTTTTGTTCAAATAACACAGCGCTTTGAGAAGACAGATATTTTTCTTACCGATCGAACGTTCTGCGATTTTGCTCGCATTAACCGAAGACGTTCTCTTCTTCATCGCGAGGAAGTTGCGCGACTGTCGCGAGAGAATGCGAGTATGATACTTTTATACGAAACTTCCGGAAAAGGATCTGCGCGATACGTAAACGTAGTTCAGCGTATCATCGGGAAATATGCACGTGCGAAAACGATATTCGTCGGGAGTCGATTGTTTCAGATCGAGCAATAAATATCTATGGGGTTGAGACGTGGCGTCGTGATACGCTTCCTCGAGGAACTTTGGATCGTTGGGATAGACTTGTCAAGCGAGAATTTGCGCGCGATCTCGTGGATTTTTGAAAACCACAAAGTAATTCGTGTTGAGAGATATATCACGTTGTCCACGTCCCTGATGAAAGTGATTTTGCGTGATGAGAATTACGCTGAGATTCTTATGATGACTTCCCTTGGTAAACAGATTCACGATCGCTTCGCTCGAGGACGATTCCCTCATAAGATCGTCAATTATTATCAATTTCGCGCGGGATGGATCGTTAGAATAATCTTCCGGACGTGATAATCTCTCGTGAAATTCGATTGCGAAATCTCGAATTTCGTATTGAAGTTGCTGATAAGCAAATCCTGCCATTCGGCGTAATAAAACAAAATTCTCTTAAAGTAGACATCTGCCGTAACGGATAAATGACGAAGAAATCTCTTTACAAAGATTGTTTTTCCACATCCCGTCGGTCCGCACACGATCGACGGATGTTTTCAGCGTACATCTATTTCGCGAAATGAACATCTTGCGCGTCGTACTTAGATTAATAAACAAAGGGATGGGACACTTCAGGTTCTTGATTTTTCCTCAGAAAGATTTTTGAGATTAGCTTACTCGCGGAAGGGCCTCACCGCGGCGGAGATATGCTCGCGCCAGCATCTTTGCGTAACGAGCTCGTACTCGTCCGCGACAAGCTTCGTACGCTCGTGCGAGCGTTCACCGCATGAGCACCGTCGCTTACGAGCTTGTATGCGGTGCTCCTCGAAAGCTAATTCAAGCCAGAGAAACTTACTCGCGGAAAAAATAATTGAATACTTATTATTGCGGACGTAAAAATTTATAACTTTTTCTTTTACAAAGTATTTTATTTCTCAACGAGAATTCAAAATTTTTTCTGTATAAAAATTAATTTGAGAGAAAGTTATTAATTATTTTAAAAGAAAGTTATAGGAATGGTGGGGAAAAAATTGGGTGTTTAAAAAAATTTAATTTTACAAAAGGTTTATTATATTTTTTCTTATAATTAGAAAAATAAACATTTTTATTACATTTTTTCTCTTAATAGCTAAAAGTAAATACAAATTCGCATTTATAATTTTACAAAGCGTTTTCTATTTGAAACTTCAAATAATAAACATCTTTTTTAAATTTAATAACTAAAATAAAATAAACTTAATTTTTACAAGCATATTTATTTGATATACATATTTACATTTGCACGAGGACGGGGAAAATTCGAGCCTTAATCTAACTTAATTTTAAGTAAAATATTACGTCATGTAAAACTGTATGGATAAGAAAGACGATTATCGATAAATCTGCGTTTTAATAAAACCGGAGCACATGTTTTTACCTCAGTTCGGGTTATTACCTCGTGAAACGCGGTGGGAACGAATTGCTTTAAATCGCAGATTTATCTCTTCTCTTTTCTCTCTTTCCCTATTTAATAATAAATTATAAATACTATTAAAATTAAGCAGCCGCGAATCTTCAAAATTTAATTTGATCCCCTTTATTTTACACGTTTTATATTTGCGCTCATCCGACGTACGTACGCATAAAATTTCGGTACGCCAGATACAAACCTCGATGAAGCTACCACATTCGTAACTCTCGAGTTCGTCAGTCATGTCGCCCAAAAAATTACCTATACGCGGTTCGTACTCGTTGGGATCACCGCTGCTCGCATATATACAGAATCTGTATCGTAATATAATTACAATATACACGCGACAGTCTAATCTTTCTAAATACTCATATAATTTTAAACGCGCCTGTGCCGTCGTGTACGCCGCTATCACTATGTTGGTTATGGGTGAGGGTACCATCGTCTCGCTCTTTAATCGCCATGAAACATATATCCTCGTTGACGAGCAATATGCCGACTATCTCGTGTTCCGAGTTCGACAACAATTCGGCGAAACGTTGAGGGGTTCTTATTATTTCCATATTCAAGTTACTTCGCTGGCCGAATTTTCCCCAAAACGAGTTAAGACAGAGTTTGACGACGGAGTGTAAGCCGGAATTACGTACGATGTTGTTTTATTAAGAATGATGCCTTCGATTACTTCATACTCCCTCAGAAGAATATGAACAACGTTCTTTAGCAATATTATCGTTGCACTCGCTCGGCCATCCACTCGCCTCTTGTTTTAGCTGTAAAAAGCTGTCGATATACCCGATAAACAATCCCCCCTGTCGCGTTTCGAGATTATAGCGCGTGGATTTGTATTGCCAAATCTCGTCTACCCGTGTCACGAGATATCCTTTGTCAATTGCTTTGCGTAATTCACAGGACACCCATGTGCCCTCGAACTCCGCAGGATCGTCGTGAGTGCACGCATCACGAGAAAATATTTCACAACATGTACGACAAAGAGCGAATAGTAATTTATCGCGTACGCGATACGGCAGTACAGGGTGGAAAAGATCACGCGGAGGAAGTACACGACAACGTACGAGATTCTCGACTGGACCGAAATTAAAATTTGGCTCAATTCCAATTAAACTAGCGCATTCCTCGCCTACATAAATATCAGGATGACCGATTGGGAAAACTCCAGTCTTGAGTACGTATGGGTACAGAGAACATACGTCTACGTATCATATCCTTCCGGTACCCCTCGTATCGAGTCGCGATATTGCCGGTGCGTCCACCGAAAAATGCATCACGAGGATCGAGAGGTGGGATTTGTACCATGGTGTGATTTTCAAGAAATTCTCGTTTCTCTCGATTTTCGTGCATTTCTTCGTCAAAAACACACTCCCATTTTTCCGTTAGAATGTATCCTCGCTGACGTAATCGTTAAGACGTTGCAACCATTCGTTCATAACGCGTCAAACGTATCGGTAAAATTTTCGAGTTTTATCACGATTTAATGAATAGCAAGACGGGCATCCGTGAAAAAAGCAGCCGTGAAATTGTAAGACGTGGCGCTGCGTCTCACTTCCATTCTCGCATTCGTAATATCCGTCGACAAGCATGCCTTCCGCTAAACGATACTCGCGTCCACGTCCCGCATGAATTAGTCAATGACCGATCTTGCATTCCTTCAAAATTAGCCATTGCACGGCTTTGCGTGACTGATTATCTTTAAACCTGTATCCCGATGAAATGATTCCTATTTCTCCTTCGCGCAAAAAGTTTTTTCGAAAAACTCTCATGCACGTTGAAGCGATAGTTGTACATTCCTCGAATGGACACATGTTCCCCGCTGTAAGAATATTTTTCTGAAGGCCATACATGCTCGTCGAAGGATATTAACGTCGGTGCGACAATATTCGAGTATTTCACGTTGAAAATCAAATATTGTATTTTTTCCGACATCTCCGCGTGCTACGCGAAAAAAACGTACACGTTCCTCTGTTCGCATTGTTTCGGGGACGTAATAACGAACATCAGGTAGTGGACCGATATATGTTTGATTATCGACAGTATTAAATAAGTGCGGAAAGACACCTTTGTCACAAGTATCCGGTAACCCGAAGGCCTTCGGTAATTCTGACAAACGGCATATAATTAACACTGTCGATAAATTTCGTGCGATTTATTGTTAGGACCATAATTTTTGTACCGTTTAAAATTATATGAGGTTCTAATCCAGAATAATTTTCTATGATGTACCGGAGAATAAACTGCGCATCGAACGATTTCGCGTTATGCGCTATACAAATAATCCGTGTAAAATGTTTCGTTGGTCGTGTTGCGAATTCGACAAATTGTTTTACCGGATCCTACCGAAAAACAAATTCGCGTACTCCGCACCAGTCGCAGCGCACCGACAAATTATTCATGCACACGAATCGCAAATCTGATGTACGACGCAGAGTGTGTCTGGAACGTGAATTTTCATATCGATTCCCTCAAGCGATTGATTTTGACGCGTCTCAAAATCGTAAAACACGAATACCGTTATTGCGTTCCCTTATTGCGTTCCCACTCACCCATATTATTCTGCTCGCTCTCTCTCGTAACTGCAGAAGAATCTCCGTCGGACTCGACAGCGGAGGATCTGTCTTCACGTGAGAGAGGTTACATGTAATAA